TTTCTGGCATGGGTGTCGTTCCGAGGCTGCTGCGTCTCCCTGCCCATCTCCATTTCACACCGTAGCAGATTATAAAGTGCTGAATCCCCAAGTGCAGACTGGGAGATGAGGCCCAGAATCGTTCAGGGGCCATCAAAAACTGCATTTTGAGAAGCACTCATAAAATACAGGTGGTCAGAAACAAAACCATGTGTTTTAGGTGAATCCTATTTTCTCATTGATTGATATTTAAAATTCAGAGATCCAAAGGAATAATGTTCAATCCATGGAGCTGGAGGGAGAACACATCACAATGCCTCAGATCTTTCCAAGGCACATGGTTAAGGGAAAGTTCTGATTGTGGGCAGAACGTTCACAGACAAGCTCACATGTAGCGGTGGGCACTCTGCAGGGCTTAGAACCTGAGACTGGGCTCTGTGTGGTCTTGTGCAAAGAGCTGATCTCATCCGGAGTGCCAGCCTGGTTTTGTGGGAAAAGTGACTATTATTTACCGGGAGGGCTTTCAGATGCAGGTGCGGAGGGAGGTCAGGGCTGTGCCACTTGCTGTGGGGAAGCCAGGCGGGCCAGGAGAGGACACATTGCCTGGCACCCTCGTTTTTGTCTGTGGGAGGGGCGTGGCTCAGGGTGCCCAGAACTGCCTGCTTAGAGAGGTACCACGGGCACTGGCTGAGGAAAGCCTTTCCAACATGTGATCCAGCCTGGGCCAACCAGAGTCCTTCCCCTTGGGAAATATCAGACTGGAGCAGGGAACCAGACCTTTCCTCTTGGTCTGGAAAGCGCAAGGCTGTGGGCCCAGAGCCTCCAGGAACCTCATTCCCCACGAGAAGCAGAAGCTTGGGGGAGGGGCAGAGTTGCCATGGAGGCAGAGGACATAACAATGGAGGCGTCCTGCTAGCTTTGAGTCCCTGACACCAGGCATCTTGAAAGCTGGTTTCTTCTCAGCCCTTCTCTGCCCAGCCCACCAAATCCATGGGTTTTTGTCACTTTCCGTTAAGAGACTCCTGCCTAATATATAGACGATGGAGGTGTCCTGACAGCTTTGAGTCCCTCACACCAGGCATCTTGAAAGCCGGTTCCTTCTCAGCCCTTCTCTGCCCAGTCCACCAAATCCGTGGGTTTTTGTCACTTTCCGTTAAGAGACTCCTGCCCAATATACAGACAATGCAGAAAACCACAAGGAAGGAAGAACACTAACGTGTCGCATGCCTACTGTTAAATGCTATTTTTTGTTTTTTAATATGCATTCTTGACCAGAGCATCCCTGTGAGGCATTTTGTAGTTGAGGAAATGGTCCATCTTCTAGGACCGCAGTGCCCACTTGAGGACTCCACAAGGAGGGCCAGTGCAAGTTCAGTGGATACTGCCCATCCAGAGACTCCTCGGCCAAGCCCTACCCTTGAAGCCCCAGTGTTCCTCTGCTATCTCCCAGGACTTGTCGGTTTCCTTCTGTTAGCCATGCCCCAGCCGGGCTCAGAGGTTAGGATGTTGTGCCTGTCCCATGGCTCTTAGGTCAGCCTAGATGTTTCTTTAAGCAGAACCTCTGCTTACTGGCCAATCTCTCAGTGGCAGAACATACAACCAAAACGACTGTTGTTGATCCTAGAGAAACGCTGGTGGCTGGCTGTCAGGTGTTAACCCTAACGTATAAACCAGAAGGGGTGCGGAGGCACCAGCTGTGTTGGGGTGAATTTATAACTTGGGTGTGCCTCAATTCTCAACACCAGAGGGTACCCTACACACAGCCACCCTGTTATTCTGACGACTGCTCATTCTTTTTCCCCTTACACACCACCTCTGTCTCTACTGACTGCCTCTCTCCAATGCTTCAATAGTTGTTCAGTTTTTATTCATCCAACACGGTGGGCTCACAGGCTCGTGATGGGCTGGGTCACCCCCACTTGCTGATTGCTCCTGTGTCTCATGAATTGCTTCCTCTTGCCTATAAAACGGGGCATTTCTCCAAGCTCCTGCCTCTGGGCCTTTGCTTTCTCGCTCTGGCCAGAGCTGAGGTGCACCCACTTCTCTCCAAGTTGGATTCCTCAGCCCTGAGTGCACGGCCCTGACCTTTGGCCCAGGTACAGTAGCACCTGGCTACCTGCAGGTCCCACCTGCAGAGAAGATGCGTTGTCAGGCATATTTGACAACACAATGGTTAATCCCACCGCAAAGAGGAAGGCCAGGAACAAGCAGGGAAATTCCGTTCTTAGTACACAGCTCCATGGAACCCTTCTGTCCTAATAATCACAATGATCGCTGACACTTATATTGAACTCAATTGTGTGCCAGGCACCTTTCCAAACCCCTGACTCATTGAATCCTCACGGCAGCCTGACACCGTAGGTGTATTGTCATTTGACAGATGAGGAAACTGAAACACGGGGGGATGAAAGTAACACAGCTAGAAGGAGGTAGAGCCAGGATTCAAGGTGGCCTGAACCCCAAAGCCATGCTCTTCACAACTCTACTGGCTTTCACACACAAAATGTTGTTGGTCCAGCAGCCTTTCCTGTGGGGAACCCCATTTCTGGACTGACCCTGGCCTCAGAGGTGGACATGAGGCCCAGGCCAGGTAACGAGGTATTTCACTCCCACAGCCTCAGTGATTGGTTCAGCAGAGAGCATGGGAGCCAAGCCAGGCCTGGCAGTGTCCTCACCTGGGACTCTCCTGCCAGATCCAGTGGAAACAAGGGCCTCTCTCTTTCCAGGAAGGTGGCTGAGTGCCTGGAAATGGAGCCAGCACAGAGGGGCTGAACTGGAAAGACGGAGCCCTGAGGACACGGCTGAGCCCTGGGTCCAGACACGCCCGCACTTGGCAGTTGTGCTAGTTGGCTCAGCCCTGTCCCTGACCTGGGTTGAGCCTGGTTTCAATCTTTCATTCACCTTTGCAGCCTCAGTATCTAGCAGTGCCTGGCGTATAGTGGCACTTACCTGGTTCAGAAAATATTTGTTGAAAGCATTTGAGGTCCACCCTGGCAGCTCTGTCTCCCACGCTCTGCTCTGGGCTCCAGGCAGGTTGAGCTGCTCAGCCGCCCTCCCCCACCAAGCCCCCATCACGCCTGCCTCGACTTTTGCTGTCCATGCCTCTGTCGGGGACACCATCTCTCCTCTCTTTTTAGGTCTGAGTCAAGGAGGTCCTGATACTGGGATCTGAACTGACCATCTCCCTCCTCTGAATTCTTTGCTTTCACTACATGGGGACAGTTCACGTCTCATCTACAGAAAGTGGCAGCTCCTTGAGGGAAGGGGATAGACACACCTGGTTGTCTTCTCATCCCCTTGGGGCCCGGCATCAGACCTCCTCACAGGAGCCATGTGCCGAGTAGGGGTGATAGGGTAGTAGACGCATGCCTCTGGGGATCAGGCAGGCGACTCAGTACTGACACAGGCCAGGTAGTTCCCTCTAGAGTAGGCAGCTCAGCTGCCGGTTGCCCAGAAGAAATAAGGCCCCTACGTTTCTCAAGAGAAGCAGAAATCCATGTTTTTATTTGAAATCTCCTGGCTTTTAAACATTAGCAACTAATTCCCAATTTAAGCAACACTGTGTAGGGGGACTTCCCTGGAGGTCCAGTGGTTAAGACTCTGCGCTCCCAATGCAGGGGGCCCAGGTTCGATCCGTGGTCAGGGAACTAGATCCCGCATGCTGCAACTAAAGAGCCCACATGCCGCAACGAAGATCCCGCAAGCGGCGACAAAGATCCTGCGTGCCGCAACTAAGACCCGGCGCAGCCAAATAAATATATCAATAAATACTAAAAAGAAAAGAAACACTGTGTAGGGCAAATCCATCCGTGGGCTGGCTTCAGCCAAGGTCTCCCATTTGGAGACGCTGCTGGGAATGAGGGATGGATGAATGAAGGAATCCACAGCCAGGGCTGCAGCATGAAGGTGTGTGGGTTGTGATCTGTATAAGGCACCCAGCCAAGGGCAGGGGTCGGGGCTGATGTCCAGCCAGATCTTTACTCACCAAGTCATGTGGCCGGCATGGCACTGTGTCCAGCCAGAGGGTGGGCTGCTGGCTTTCCACAACTCCTGAAGCCCGCATGCCCTAGAGCCCGTGTGCCACAACTACTGAACCCATGCGCTGCAACTACGGAAGCCCATGTGTCTAGAGCCCGTGCTCCAAAACAAGAGAAGCCACCGCAATGAGAAGCTCGCACACCGCAACGAAGAGTAACCCCTGCTCATCACAACTAGAGGAAGCCATGCACAGCAACAAAGACCCAACACAGCCAAAAAAAAAAAAAAAAAACCACGGAAAGAGACCCGGGTCTAGGGTGACCAACTTATCCTGGTTTTTGCCTGGGGTTTTCTTGGTTTTAAATCTGAAAGTCCCATATCCCAGGAACCCCAGGCAAACCGGGGTGGTTGGTCACCCTACATAGATCCCTGAATCCCACTGTGTCCCCAGCCTGCTGGAGGATAATAATCATGGCAGCTGAAGTATGTGAGCTTCCTAAGTGCCAGACATCATGCCTTAGGACCTGTGTTGTTTCCCTTACATCCCATAACATCTTCATGGTGTGGGCTCGTTATTTGTTCTACAGAGGAGAGTTGCAGGTTCAGAGGGTGAAGGGATTGGCCCGTGGCCAGTTGCCACGCTGAGGTCTGAGCCCACACTGGTCTCATTCCCGGCTCTCAACCCCACACTCTCAATCCCACAATCAGAAAGCCTGGCTGGGTGTCCTGAGCCTGCTAAGCCAGTAGGCCCTGGGGAAGGACCAGATCTTACTTCCTCAGAAATGCACTTACCTGGTTAGAGGTCCAGCCAAGATCAATGTTTTCAGGTCTGAGCCCTGCAATGCCTGGCCTCCCAGGCCTGCCCAGGCCCTTCTCTTTCTGCACTTTGGCCCCCAGCCCATGAATGGGACAACCCGAGAAGCCCTCAGGGGACACCTTTCTGTTTCCAGAACACCCTAGCCCCCTCCTGTCCCTCCACCCTGTGTCTGCTGCACAGACAAGGTATGAGGCTGGCGCTTGGAAAATAAACGCTCGCCGGTGAGTTATTGCCCGGTCTGGGGAGAGCCGTCCAGGGTAGGGATGCGTGAGAGAGTAGGGCATGTGTGCTCCCGGGGTCTCGGGAGGCTGCCGAGCGCGGGGCCTCGTCCAAGTTGGGGCCGGCATGGGCCTGGCGTGGGGCGAGGTGGCATGGCCGAGAGGATGCCCTCTACGGTCCTCCGCTCCACCGGTTCCAGTATGTGGGTGACGGAGTGCAGGGCCGACTGGTCCCCACTGCCAGCCCGGAGGATGAGGCAGAGCTGGCACTCCCCAGGATGCTGGAGATGGAGTGCAGGCTGGGCCCCGTGTTGTGCAGCAGGTCTGTCACGGAGCCGTGGCCGGAGGCCAGAGTGCCCGTGGCCATGCCCATGGCAGTATCAGACCATACCAGGATGTCTGCCAGGGAGCTGATGGACCCCTCACCCCCGCCCAGCAAGCTGGTCATGGAGCGCATGTAGTTGTTCTCACTGGCCGTGGAGTCCAGGGGCCTCCTCTCCACGGCTGCCAGTCCGGGGCCCGGCGAGGCAGGGGCTGATGGCAAAGCATCAGTGCCAGGGTTCAAGGCCTCCTGACCCTCAGGTTTCTCCTCAACAGCTTCAGCAGCGTCAGCAGCCCGAGTGTCAAGCTGGTCATTGGTATCTGCTGTGCTCACGACGGGCTGAGCCTCCGCATTTGGCGGGGACTCTACCGCAGCGCTTGGGGTAGATGGAGCTAGTTCCTGTTCCCTGTCTTTCTGCACTGGGCTCTGGAAGCCCGTGGACCTGTGCAGGGCACCTGGGGCCAGGGGGGCAAGCAGGGCTGTGGGCTCCTGGGCTCCTGGGCATGCCCCGCGGCAGCCTCACGCTTGTCCTTGTCCCCAGACGCTGACGTGGCCCCCAAGGTGGCTGGCTTGGAAGCCCGACCTACATCCTGCTGTTCAGCCGATGCTGCAGTGTCGTGAGCCGTTGGGACATCTGCAAGGAGGGGGACCTGGCTTTGGGACCGCACTGTTGGGATGTCTGTACACCTGCTGTCACCATGTGTGGGGATGCTGGAGGCTCTGGCCTCTCCCGAGGGCGTGGTGGTCATCTAGGCCCTCTGTCACTTGTGCTGGTTGAGGGAGTGGCCATGGCCCCACTGGGCTGAGTTGTCCAGGTGGTGAGGTCACGGGGGGCTGTTGAAGCTGGCGATGTCACAGGCACCTGCACAGCAAGGGTCCTGAGCCTCCGGAGAGGCTGCACTAGCAGGCTGAGTCTATGGGACTATTCGTAGCCAAGTCTGCGGGTATCTAAGGAGAGAGAGGCAAACGTCTTGGAAAAGCATGGAGGTTATATACAGGTGCAGGGCCCACAAGGAATCTGGATGGCTGTGACTCTGATGAAAGAGAATGGGCTGCGGGTGTTGATTTATAATAACTGTTATAAGGGACCACTCCCAGCACCTCTCTGTCCACGCTGGTGACTGATTTGGCCAGTCTTTCTGCAGAGACAGTTTCGCAGCAGTGGTGAGTAGGAACAAGTGAAGGCTAAGGGCCTGGGCAGCTCCCAGCCCTGACTGTCTTTGGTTGTGGGGAGTTACAGACTGAATGTTTGTGTCCCACCCCAAAATTTATATGTTGAAAGCTAATCCGCAATGTAATAGTATTTGGAGGTGGGGCCTTTGGGAAGTGATTAAGTCATGAGGGTAGAGCCCTCATGAATGGGATTAACACCCTTATAAAAGGGACAGCACAGAGCTCCCCGGCCCCCTCCTCCACGTGAAATGCAGCGAGAAGACTGCTATCTATTAACCAGGAAGCAGGTCCTCACTGGACACTGACTCTGCAGCCCAAATGAGCTAAGACAGAGTTTTACCCTGTGACTCAGGATAAACAGTCTCCATCTTCTCCCTGTTTAACTAGGCTGGGAGGGCAGAGAACAACAAAAGATCTGTAAACCCTCGAGTATTCTTTGGAAACCCGTAGACCCAGATAAACCTACTTGCGCTCTTCGTTAAGAAGGTGGTTGGAGTGAAGTTTCTAGTCTGTTGTGTCTGTGCTTCCCTTGGGGGTTATCAGCTAACATTTCGTGCCTGCTTATCATGGGCAGGAGAAGGAGCTAAACATCTAATCCTTCCAACTACCCCGTCGCCTCTAGGTAGGTGCGGATCCATTATTATATCCATTTTATACACGGGGAAGCTTAGCCTCAGAGGGAATAAGTGACTTATTCAAAGGCACACTATTAATAAGCACTGAATCTGGGATTTGAACCTTGTCTGGCTTCAGAAGTCAAGCTCTCCAGCACTATTTTACACCCAGAAGGGATATTAAAATATTGAATGACTGGCGTGCTAAGGATACTGGCTAATGCAGAGAGAGGCCTGCCATAATCCCACCACATCAGTAGGTAACAGTTGCTGTCACTTCTCCCAGCACCAGGCTCGATGCTCAATAAGTATTTCTTCTCCCCATGTATGCTCTGTGGCCATCTCAGAGGTCACAGGGCAAACCCAATTTTGTTGGGGTGGGACAACCCTGTACTTTGTGAAAGAATCATGGAGAAGACTGCTCGTTGCTCATTTGAGTAGCCCTTCTTCTTTAGGATCAGAAACCCAGTTTTATTCAGGGTGGCTATGTGCTTTGACAAAGAATATACTTCCCGGTCTCTCTTGCAGCTAGGTAAGATCTTCTGGCCGATGAGATGTAAGCAGAAAGTATTGAGAGGAACTTTAGAAAGGGTCCTTCAAAGATCAGAACACCTTTTTGCTCTTTCCCCTTTGTCATCCTGTTATCAAGAATGTGAAGGCTGGAGCACCAGCAGCCATCTCGATACATGAGGTAACCTTGAGGTTGCAGGGACACACGAAGTGCACACAATTTGTGGAGCACAAAGATAGAAGGGATCTGGGCCCCGTGGTTAGAGATGCCACACCAGCCACCAGGCTGTTGCTGTCCTCCAGAATTCCTTTACATGAGGGAAAATAATCACATATATGCTCAAACTATTGTTCTTTTGGGTCTTCTATTATATGCAGCTAAAGTTAATCCTTATCCAGTTCCCAGTTATGAGATTCCTGTCAGGTGGTTGTTCAGTGTTTTTTTGGATATCTTCTTGTGCTAAAAATCAAGGTCGGCATACTCCATTGAGTACCTGGCACTGTACAGGTGTTATTTTCCCACTTTTCAGGTGAGGAAACTGAGACTTAGAGAAACTAAGTACACAGCAAGTTCTTGATGTCACCTAATGGTCAGCCTGTGACCCGCTACAACCATCAGGCACTCTTTTTTTTTTTTTTTTGGCGGTACGTGGGCCTCTCACTGTTGTGGCCCCTCCCGTTGCGGAGCACAGGCTCCGGACACGCAGGCTCAGCGGCCATGGCTCACGGGCCCAGCCGCTCCGCGGCATGTGGGATCTTCCCGGACCGGGGCACAAACCCGCGTCCCCTGCATCGGCAGGCGGACTCTCAACCACTGCGCCACCAGCGAAGCCGCATCAGGCACTCTTCATAGGCACTTAAGTCAAACTCCTTGTCCTCACCTTCCATTTGGAATTCGGGTTTTGATTCTACATGTTGCACTTTACACTCACCCTTGTTAAGTTTCACATGTCTTAAAGATCTGTGCTGAGGAAAGACAGGAGAATAAAGAGGGATTCATGTCAGAAAGCAGAGAGGATTATTAAAATTTGGGGACAAAAATATTGTCTGTTTATAAATAAATATTAAATACTATTGGTGTAGAACATAATGTATATTCTGTTGTTACCTGAAATATACATATATACACACAGTTATAAAAGAAACTGTATCTAAAAGAGCTTTTTTTCTTAGTTCAGTTCAAAAATTGCCTGCCTTTGTTACGTAGCGTTTGGAAGAGGAAATTCGTCTCAAAAAATTTGTCTTTGATTTCTTTTCAACTCCTGTCTCATAGAGACAATGACGCTCCTATTAAATAGACATTCTTATTTTAGGGTCAACCCAGCTTATGGAGTATTATGTCACTGTATAAAGCTTACATAGACACATGGCAAAATGCTTGTATATAATGTCACCCTAAACCCAGGATATGATATTTAATGTGCACTATGTAGATGTGTTAGTACTCTCAGCTGGAAGGAATGGAAATCAACTCAAACTGGTGTGAGCGAAAATAACCCAAATAAAGAAATTTCTTGGTTCACAGAAACCTAAAGTCGAAGGGAAAGTTTCTGCACAGAGTTCAGTGATGCCGTCAAGATTCAGGCTTCTCTCTCCCTCTCTTGGTTCTGCTTTCTCACTGATGTAGATTTCTGGGAAGATTCCTCTGGGTGCAGGCTGCTAGCAGCTTCAGGCCAGTGCAGACACCTTGGTCCTCACTAGTTACGGCAGACCTCAGGCCCTGAGTCTCATGGGTTCCCGTGGCCTTCTCTGAAGAAATCTATACAGCTTGGGACCAAACCCTGGTTGGTCAGGCCTGGAATGGGGCATGGGGTCAGCTCCACTGAAACATAAGGCCTGTAAGCGGTAGTCAAGTTGGTCCCCAAAGGAAATTGGGGTGCTGTTACCAAAAGAAGGCAAAAAGGATGCTGGGCAGGAAACACAGACAAAACCTGCTCTATGATGATTACAGATATTTAAAGAAAATCTATCTATTGGGGAAAAGCATGGCAGGAAATAAGCCCAGAAGAGATTCTGATTATTGTAACAAATCAGAAAATACATATAAGCAAAAATAAGTAAATAATGGAGTTCCCTGGTAGTCCAGTGGTTAAGACTCCATGCTTCCACTGCAGGGGGCGTGGGTTCGATCCCTTGTCGGGGAACTAATATCCCACATAACGTGTGGCCAAAAGAATATTAAAGAAAAAATGTAAATAACAGTAAAAATAAAAATCACCCTAAGCAATACGGTGGACCGAATGAGTGGGAAGCCTGTTACCCCAGCACACTCACTTTTATACACACACACACACTCACACACACTCACACACACATTCATATACACTCCCATCCTTCTAACACATGGAAATGCTGGGTAATAACACAGCCCACAGTGGGTTAAATGGATAGCTAAGCTACAAAACATGGGAGGTTCCCAGGCTCCAGAAAGGATAGAAGGACTGGGCTGGATGTAGGGTGAGGTCAGGGGTCGAGGACTTTCTAATGTCCTTGTCAGGACTGCTGCTGTGGCCCTGGGCAGGCCTCCCCATCAGTGGGGAGAGCTCCTACAAAGCTCTGCCCATGAGCCAGAGACAATCAAGGCTGCCTGCTCAGCCCAGCTCTGAGTGGGCGTTAAACTCCCACCATAGGAGGAAGCTTCTACCTGATGCGGTGTCCGGGCGTCGCAGTCAGTGCAGGACAGGCCAACCCGGCGCATCTCTTCCCAACTCCACACTCAGTGACGGCAGATTGGTAGCTTAACATCTGCCCGGGTGGGATTTTTAAAAAATTTTTTATTGGAGTATAGTTGATTTACAGTGTTGTGTTAGTTTCAGGTGTACGGCAAAGTGAATCAGTTATATATATATCTTCATTCTTTTTCAGATTCTTTTCCCATATAGGTTATTTCAGAATATTGAGTAGAGTTCCCTGTCCTATACAGTAGGTCTCTGTTAGTTATCTATTTTATACATACTTTACATGTATTTTATACTATATTTTATATATAGTGTGTATATGTTAATCTCAATCTCCCAATCCATTACTTTCCTGGGTGGGATTATCTACACCACAGAAAGTGGCTACAAATCCGGGCTTTGTTCCTCTGCAGTAAATTGGTTGTTTACCCGCATCCCCACTGTACCTGATTACGCTCTGTTTCCCCGACAGGGAGGCTGTCTGCCCTGCCTTCCCATGGGAGCTACACTTAGGGTTCCTTTCAAGGCCACGCTCCATGATTCCCCAGAGTCCCACACAGCAAGGCAACTGGTGTGGAGCTGGAGCTGAGCTGCCCGGGTTTAAATCCTGCTGTTGCTATACCTAGCTGTGTAACCTACGGCAAGTTACTTCACACCTGTTCCTCAGTTCCCCCATCTGGGAAATGGGGATAATAAGAGTCCTTACCTGTGGTATAATGAAAAATATATACTTGCTCCTTGTCCTAGGTTTCTGGCACAGAGCTCCTAAAACCT